TAGAAAACTGGTGCGGTACGGTTTCAGTTATCTAGACTGTACAGAGATGGCGCCAGTGCTCTCTCAACTCAGATTGACCACAGCAGAATCAAATGTCAACAGTTTTGCGATATAAATACGAATTCTAACAGAGGAAATTCAGGCCTTATCACACAGGAATGATATATCACACAGGAATTTGGGTTCAAAATGAATAGGAAAGGTCATCCTGGTCAGGTCAAAGGTCACCTCAGAAAAAAAATTTAAAATGAGTTGGACCATTTGTTGGAAATTAATAATCGAATGACGAATGCACTCAGAGCCTTGCCATTTTAATTCGCTCAGTACTGAAATAAAGCATTTATCAAGAGAAAAGGATATTTACGATATAGGGAAATGAACAATAAAGATATGTGTATGATAAAAGAAACTCTTATTGAAGCATGGACACTGTTTTCCTTGATGATTAGGCTTGGCAGCGCTTGTAGTGGTAGCGCTCTTTCTTCCTCTTCACACATCCCACTCTGAAATAAGAAAAAAAACGTAATCACCAAGCCACTCAATAAAAAAAGTCATGCATAAAGAAGTAGTGGAAAATTTATTGGTTTTGTAAGAAGTCAAACTCTTTTGCATTGTCTTTTTCACTTGCCTCAGACACTCATGAGTGGGACCCTCCCAAAGCAAAAGAATCCCGGACATTATATATCGTTTCTAATTGGAAAATGCTACAGGTATAGCTTAAAGGAAAGGGAATTTAAAAAATTACTTCGCCTTGATGGGCACCTCTTTAGTCAGCGGAATATGAAAAAACATGGCCATTGGGTGAAGTATAAGATTATATGAACGTAGCAAATTATTCGATAACATCGATAGATGCTTTGGGAGCTTGGGCAGAGAACATTCTTGCTTGCTTTCCGAATTCTGGAACTTCTGCATACCAAGGCGGCCTTGAATCAGTCGCCAGATATTCTCGCCAATGGGAAAAGAAAACGTATTCTATACTGGAAAGATACCCTTCAAAGTAAAGCTCATCACCTACAGGTGTCAAACCGGCTTACGATAATTTAAAAAAAAACTACTGCGACCCTTTGTCCGACTCCTCCAGGTGAGATGCATCGGGAACTCCCACGCCCCTAACGTTCTTCCCAGAAATTCACATTGTTTTCGCCCCTATCATTATAGCATGTGCGACTCCCTTTGCTTGCTACGAAATAGTGCAACGACCAAACGTGCATGCGACACTTTGTTGGCAAAAAATTGTTGTGAGACTGCAGGCGTCACGACTTGGCGAATTTATTTTCTTATCTTTCTTTCATGACAATACACGAACGTTACGATTGAAGATGATAAAACAGGCAACTAGAGTTTGTGGGTGGGCCTCAGGGATTGCCCAGAGGGATTATTCTCCTCTCACTTTGGAATCAAGAGTAACAATGGGATTAGATATTGTGCAAAATATGTCGCTGCCATGTTGGATAAAATTATTCCAGTCCAGTCCATCAACATTTCAGTTTCTGAGTTTGCTGCAATGCAGGTTGTCATATGAAGACTTACATGGCATGGCAAAAAAAGGCGAACAACACTCAACCTAAGTGTCTCCACTCATGACAAATTTATTTTTGCGGAACTTTCTTTCTGTGTATGGATATGTTTCTGATTGATGCTCAATAGTTCACCCAAATGTGTTGTGCGCAGGCAATACAAACAGCAATTGTTGAAAGAAATTAAACATTTAAAAGGGACAATAGATCATGCAGGTAATGATGTGAAGGTGACAATCCCGTGCTGTCCTTCCTGGTAATGAAGATCACGTCGATTTCCTATAATCCATTAACGGGGCTGATTATCTTTTGCAGATGGTTTTCATTAGTTCACACACAGGAATTATCATTACTCCATAGTACAGAGAAATTAAACAAGTGACCCGAGGTTACCAACCCTGAAGATTATCCAATCCTAAAACCTGAGCATGACGTAAAGGGTAGGTGCCAGTCATTATTTTGCAGAAGAACTACGGCGAAAGACAAAAATTGCTCTATCAGTACAAAGGAAATCCTACAAGATCCTATAGGATTTCATCGTGCTGTTTTACACCTAAGCAAGGAGGTTTCTTGGTTGGCCTGAAACATCTATTGAATACGAGGCTTGTATGAAAAGTCATGCGTGTTCCGCAATAAAAATTTGCATATTGCGCGCACGCGAAAAATTCCTACAAATTCTGAAAGCCCCGTCAAATAGGAACACAACGATATGCGGAATGTGTTCCAAACCCTCCCGAATCACCGGAAAAAAATTGTTACACAGAGGCATGTAAATCACATTTCCCGATTTCCAAGAAATTCTTTTTATTTTCTTAAAAAAAAA